GGCGCGAGTGCGCTGCCCCGACTACGACAGCTGGCACTGGGGGCTCGCGTCGCGGCTGCCGCCGTTTGCAGCCTCGACTCCGGGCGGCACGAACGCCGCTCTCGCCCTCTTCGCGGCTCGGGACGTCGTCTACCTGCAAGGCCGCAACGACACGTGCGACTGCAACCCGACGACCGCCGGCTGCGGCTGCCTCTCGCACGGGCTCGAGACAACGTGCGCGGATGAGCTCATGGGGCGCTTCCGGCTGATGCGCGGCCGCCTCTACTACGCGCAGCTGCAGGCGCACTTCAACGCCTCGCCGGCTGTGCACTCGATGGTCGAGGTGCCCAATGTCGGACACGACCACACGCTCATGTGGCAGTCGACCCAAGGGCTCGACGCCATCTTTCGGTGGTGATATTAATTATCACCACGAAGTACTGTCGCGGGAGAGACCACCCGAGACCCGTGGCGCGGGGCGGGGGGCGGGCCGGCCCGGGGGGCGCGCAGAGCAGTTTTCTTTGAAACGGCGCGGGGCAGCACACACGCGCAACACGCGCAACGCCCCCCGCGGCGCCCGGTAGCCTCGATACTGACGCACGCGTATAGATAGACGGCATGTTTTGCGAGTATATGGGACAAAAGCGTCGAAAATGTCCCAAAAAAGCGTGTCTCGAGTTTGTGGCAGCCCCACAGCCGGCGCGCGCTGCCAGGAAGCCCCGCTCGAGTGTCGGCCGCACTCCCTGGCACCCGGTGAGTGCGGCCGACCGACCAGACCGATTAGGCTCGACGCCGCGCTCGCTGTGGGGCTGCCACAAACTCGCCGCCGAGCGTGCCACCGACGGCGTCCTGGCGGAGGTGGTGGAGTGTGAGACCTGAGGCTGAGGAGGTGACGCCTGAGGTACCGGCCCGTGCACAGCGACTCAGCCGGCGACCGCCACGGGCTCAGACGAGACTTGTCGACTCGTTCCGGCTCAGCTTCACCGTGGTTATCGGGCGTCTGTCGACGTCAGGACCACCCATACAGCTCGCGGGTTTGAGGTCGCAAGAGCCAAGATGGTGGCGTTTGGACATCCCAACCATCACACAAGACAGCCTGTAGGTGATGGCGGGACGGCGCAGTGTTTGTGGCACTCGGCAGTAGGCACCCGCGGCACGGCCCCGCTGTCGGCTCTCACGGGCTGCGGAACCGGCCCCAGAGGGAGCCGGTCCGGGCGAGTGTGGCAGCTCCTGCGCTAGTATGGGCACCCTCTATCATAGCACTACTGATCCTGGTCATTAGAGCTGCCAGGGATAGCGTCAGGAGCCGGTAGGAGTCAAAACCTCTCATATTTGAGACATCGTGTCCCATATACTCGCACAACGAGCCGCACATCCGCGCTC